AAACTCATTTTATAACATTACAAAAGAAATCTCTCAAGAGAAAATTAGTAATACTATCAAAAAACTCTTAAACAATAAAGCTCCTAGTATAGATAGCCTAATTTATGAATTTTATAAACTTACAGAAAAGGTTATAACCTTTATTTTATATAAAGTTTTTAATCACATACTTAACTTAAAAATAATACCTACTTTATAATATAAGAGTTTGATTTCTCTGATACCAAAAATAGAACTAGATCTAGAAAATAGTAACAACTAAAAGCCTATCTCTCTAGTAAATAATGATACAAAAATTTTTATAAAAATTATTACAAATCATCTTAACTCTGTTTGTGAAGAACTTATATTATACTAATAATATGGATTCATTAAAAATAGAGCTATTACTAATGTAGCTCTTGATATTATAACCACTTTGAAAAACTAACCAAATCCTTCTAAACTAAATTAGCTACTCTTTATTGATCAGCAAAAAGTCTTTAATCAAGTTATCTATAACTTTTTGAAGCTTATATGAAAAAATATAAACTTTGATACTAGGTTTACTAATCTAGTTTATAATCTATTCTCTAATCAAGAAGCTCATATTAGCAAAGCAAAGAATATCTTCAAGCCTTTTAAAGTTAAAAAAAAAGTAAAACAAGGAGATCTTTTTTTACTACTTCTTTATATTCTAGCTTTTGAACTACTTTTAAAGAATCTAATAAAATATCTACAAAAAATTAATCTAGAGAATCAGTTTTTCAAAATCTCTACTTATACTAATGATCTGACTATAGAAATTAGTTTTCTTACTGATTAGAATATAGTACAATTATCATTGAATTTATATGAAGCTGTTTCTAATACAAAAATTAATAAGACAAAATTCAAATTAGTTCTTCTTACTCCTACAATTTGAAGAGTAGAGCTATCAAATAAAAATCAGTTCCTAAAATTTGAAGAGCTTGAGTTCATTATAATTTTAGACTACAATATCTTTACAAATAGTTAGCCTAAAAAAGATCTTTGGACTATAACTACAAAAAAGCTTAAAAAATCTATAGACAACTTATTAAATAGAAATCTTTTTTTTAAAAGAAAAATTTTAATTACAAAGTCTTTCATCTTATTAAAAGTCTAGTATGTAGCTTATTTTCTTTTTCTGAACAAGAAACAAGTAGCAAAAATAAACTATATTATATCTCTTTGGATTAAAGAAACCTCTCAGATGCTTCTTAGATACTTTACTTTTTAGCAACTAACAGAATTAGCAAGCATCCAAGTATCTGTGATTAAAGATATATTAGATACTTATCTTATCTCAGTTTAGATAAAGCTACTTATATCAAACTTACTATAGGCAATATATAAAAGAGATAAAATAAGTTCTATACTTAGATATAAAAGAAATATCTCTCTATTACAAGTATTCAGTACAGATAACCTACGAACTAAAGCTTAGCTTTCAGAATAAAAACTCTATCTTATGACCTAGTCAAGAATTAAAAGAAAGTTTCCTTAACTTCTAACTAGCTCTGAGATAGCAAAGAAATCTCTGCTAATAAAATTAAAGAAGACAAGTTCTTTATTAAAAAAGTTCTAAAATATTTAAAAAATATAGTTCTTCCATCAATTCCACTTCAATTTTTTTTTCAAACTATACTATCTATTTGGCTATTACTAAAATTAATCTGTAATAAGAAAAAAGATATATTTTGATGACTTTTTTATAAAACTCTTTTTTTAGACTATAAACTTAAACATATAGATCCATTAGAAACAGGAAATTATACTTGATACTTTGATGAACTTCAAACCTTAGAGCACTTTGTTATCAAGTATTTTAGAAGTATAATTGTTTGAAAAGAAGCTTATAAGTTTCTTAATATCAACGATAAAAAAATATTATTTTCTACTTTAAAAAAAGTATTTCAAGCTACAAATATTCAGAACACTCAAGCTACTACTACAACTATTTGGCTACATATTAATTTAGTTTATAAAATCTAATATCATTATATTTCCTTAAAATGAAGCAATCTTGACATATTACTAACTTCTCTTAAACTCTAATCAAAAGTCATATCTCAAAAGAAATATGTACTTTAAAAAGTATTTTTTCTTTTAACAAATCTAGAGCTTCTAAATTATTATGTAAATATTTAAAACATATAATATATTTATAATTTCTTAATAAAAGAACACCACCTATGCTTCTAACTGCTTTAGCAGTAGAGATATAAAAAAAAAAAAAAAATACTACAAAAAAAGCTATTATAATCTAATTTATATATAATAATTGCTTTAAAATTAGAAAATATTTATTTTTTATAAGTTATATTTTCAAATTATACAAAATTAGCAAATTTTTAATTTAGTTTTTAGACTAAATTTTTTTTTTTTTTTTTTATATAATCGCAAATTTTAATTTTAATTTAGTTAAGTTAAAAAGAATCTTTAGCTCAAAGTTTATAGTAAATTTATGTTTTTATTATAATTTTTATTATAGACAACATTTTGAACCTTTATAAGAGAACATGTTCTTTAATATTATTTGGTTTTAGTTAAAAAATACTCGTGTGCGCGCCACATTAAGTCATGTGATAGTAAAATGTGGCGAAACTGCAAAGATCATTCGCCACTGTATGCTATAAAAATTGTGCATAGCAATCTTAGCCAATAATGATTACGATCCAATGTGATACAACCATCGAAATTTTTTTTTTTATTTCAGAATTTAATTCACCATTTTTAACAATTCAGGACCAACCTATAAAGTAACAATGTTAAAAAATGTTGTTCGTGCTGCTTCGCCTTTGACTACTACACTAATACGAAGGGCGGTGCCTGTTGTATGTGTCTTTAAGCGGATGTTAAACTTGCATTACTTGTTTAGAAAGTCATTAGAAAGGAGGTTAAAAATTTGGTAAACTGGATAGATATTAATGGGTTATACTCAGTAATTACGAATATCAAATTAAGATAATAAGCGTTTTTAGGCATATATAATTAAGATACTAAGAAATATTGAGATAATTGAACTGGAGTCGTAATATAATCAAAATCAATTCGCACTAACAAGGTTGAACAATCATCATAGATTCGTACTAACAACGGTGTAGTGAGTATTACCACTCGAGGATATGCAACCACTAAGCCTGGTATGTATAAAACATAGGTGCACGCATAGTTAATAGATAAATAATATCACAGAAGAAGAATTTGTCGATTAACGCAATGCAATGATTTTAATTAGATATAAATCTATTTATTCTATGTTAATAATAAGCCACATCTGAAGTTTCCTCCATTCTGGAACAACGCATCCTCGGTGCTACTGCTAACGTTGAAGTCCAGGAGACTGGACGTGTCTTGTCAATCGGAGATGGTATCGCCCGTGTTTACGGACTCAAAAATTGTCAAGCCGAAGAAATGGTTGAATTCTCTAGTGGTCTCAAGGCATGTTGTTAAAAAATCAAATAATTCTACCTTGTGGAATTGGACCATAATCAATATGCCCAAATTTACTAAATATAGTCACTGATGTTTTACAGTCAGGATTTGATTATTTCTATAATAATATTTTTAAGTGTAATATCTTTAATGTAGTATATTAGTCAGTAATCGTAACGACTTCTGAATATTTTTTAAAAATCACTTAGTAAATTTGATTATGATTCAATTCCGCGAAAAATTGATGGATACTTGTATGATATTAAATATACCGTAATTTCATTATTAATACGAAATTATTGATCATGAATGATTCATTGAATCATATAGGGCATGGCTCTCAATTTAGAACCCGACAATGTAGGTATTGTCGTGTTCGGTAACGATAGATTAATCAAAGAAGGTGACACTGTGAAGCGTACAGGACAAATTGTAGATGTACCGGTTGGACCTGGTCTATTAGGTCGTGTCGTTGATGCTCTTGGTAATCCCATCGATGGCAAGGGGCCAATCAAATCAGCAGAACGGCGGCGGGTTCAAGTTAAAGCCCCTGGCATCTTACCTCGTCGTTCTGTTCACGAACCTATGCAAACTGGCATTAAATCAGTCGATGCTATGGTGCCAATTGGTCGTGGCCAACGTGAATTGATTATCGGTGACCGTCAAACTGGTAAAACTGCAGTTGCTCTTGACACTATTTTAAACCAAAAAAAGTGGAATGATGGTAGTGAAGAAAATAAGAAATTATACTGTGTGTATGTCGCTATTGGTCAAAAACGTTCGACTGTAGCTCAATTGGTTAAAACTCTCGAAGAAAACGGTAAGTAGTTGCCATTCATCTTTATATAAGTTATCGATGCTATTTATCTATTCATTCTAATATGAGAGGATGATATCTGTAGACGCATTGAAATATTCCATTATTGTCGCTGCTACAGCTTCTGAGGCAGCACCCCTTCAATATTTGGCGCCGTTCTCCGGCTGTGCTATGGGCGAATGGTTCAGAGACAATGGCAAACATTCATTAATTATTTATGATGACTTGTCTAAACAAGCCGTTGCTTACCGTCAAATGTCTTTGTTGCTTCGTCGTCCTCCGGGTCGTGAAGCTTATCCCGGTGATGTATTTTATCTTCACTCCCGATTACTTGAACGTGCCGCAAAATTGAATCAGAATTTTGGCGCTGGATCTATGACCGCATTGCCAATTATTGAAACTCAAGGTGGTGATGTGTCCGCTTATATTCCCACTAATGTCATTTCCATCACAGACGGTCAAATTTTCTTGGAAGCTGAGTTATTCTTCAAAGGGTATGCATATAAAAATTTTGATTGCTTACTATATTACAACATATTCCTCAAATTTAATCATAATTTTTAAGTGTACGACCTGCTATCAACGTCGGTATATCTGTAAGTGTTGCTATCAGCAGATTATCATATGTTTATTAAACGTAGCCTAAACTTAATTTATTTTAAATTAGGTAAGCCGTGTGGGCAGTGCGGCTCAAACTAAAGCTATGAAACAAGTTGCCGGGTCTCTTAAACTTTACTTGGCTCAATATCGTGAAGTCGCTGCAGTACGTTTATTCTTTATCATCATTGCCATCCATAAAATTGTCCATGTACTTGTACCTATTAAAAAGAGTACACGTACATGAAAACATAAATGGATGGTAGGGCGTAACTATTTTTGCATTGATTCAAGATAACCAAATAACATTCCATCTTTATTTCTATTATAGTTTGCACAATTCGGTTCTGATTTAGATGCCTCTACACGTTTCTTGTTGAACCGCGGTGAACGATTGACAGAACTTTTAAAGGTTAATTATTCTCTTTACTTTTTATATCGGACATCGGAATCTTTGAATATGTACTGAAATATATATATATATTTGGTTCTTTATACAGCAACCTCAATATAAACCACTTCCTACGGAACACCAAGTACCACTAGTATTTGCAGGTGTTCACGGGTTTTTAGATAAATTAGATAGTAAACGGGTGACAGAATTTGAAAACTCGTTCATCCCACATATGGTATCAAACCATTCTGATGTGTTGGATACTATTAATAAGGAAGGAGTAATTTCCGATGCTACAGACAAAAAATTACGTGGAATTTTGACCGAATTTTTAAAGTCTTTTTAATAGAATGTTTAGAATATAAACCGTATACCTTTTTTTCGGCTTATTTTTGGAATTCGTAAATAAATAACAAAATAATTAATCATTAATAGTTTCATTGTAAAGGATTTTAGTTGTAAATAATGACTTAATTAATATCTTGTAATGAAAATCGGTTATTAAAAGGCTCATTTACACGGAATTTTTTTTAATCATAACGAACTAATCAAAGATTTTTTCAGAAGTTTCAATTCAAGAAATTTAAATAACCAAATGGTACCAGATAATTTGAAAAAAAATCAAATTTGATTAGTTTTAAAGTTTTATTAAAACGAAGAATTTTAATATTAACCAGTAACAACGGTTAAGACGTTTAAAATTTACGTAATAATTTTATATAAAGGTGCTACCAAATTATAATCCAACCAACACATATTCTTCATCCAAATAAATTTCACACAAAATAAAATCTTTCTTTTAGCTCAATAATCTTAATTATACAATAGTCAAAGTCTACTTCCCCGTTTTCAATGACATTTTTTACTTTGATAATTGAAACACATTTATCACGTAATCATTAACTCCATTTCCAATATAAAGAACGCATAGTTTTTTACAGTAACCACTACACTAAGATCGTCAGATCTAAAAAATTTATATAACAATACCTATGATCTATATTTTTATAAAATTAAATAAACAAAATTTTTTTGATAATATCATATTTAAAAATAAGGATTATACAATTGTAGATTTTATTTTTATTTTATAAGAAAAAAAAATTTAAGTTGTTTATATATTAAAGTTAGGTGACTTTAAAGAAATTTTTTTAATCAAAAAATTTTATTATTTATTTTTGGCAAATTTATTAATTATTAACTATCTGTTTTTTTTTTAAATTAGAATTTATTAAGAGAAACAATTTTTTATTATTATAATTTTTATAATTTAATTGTAAAAATTTGAATTTTTTCAAAGTTAAAAAATTTTTTTAGCTTTAAGAACATATAAAATTTTAAAAATTTTTAAACAAAATTAATTATAAAAAATATTTTAATATAAATTTTAAACATTTATTATTTAAAAACTACTTAGTAAAAATAAAAAATTTTTTTAATAAAGTTTATAGAATATATTTTAATAATATATTTTATATATAATATAGATCTTATTATTAATATTTTATTAAATTATTTAAAAAATAATATTTGCTTTTAATTTTCTAAGCAAATTTGTTTAGAATATAGTTTAAAAGTTAATAGTTTATAGTAGCATAGTGTAATATAGTAACTAGGTTTAACAATTTTATAGATTCAAAAAGAGTTGTCGTCACTAGCTAAACCTAGCAATTAATTACTTAACGAGTTTGAGAATTAAGGAATGAGTTTATAAAGTTTATAGATGATAATAGTTTATAATAAGATGATAAGATCACTTTAGAGATAATAATACTTGGTTTTGGTTTATAATTTAAATAGTTTATTGATAAATAGTTTTATAA